TCACAGATATATAGATGATCGATGTCTATCCAGAATTACTGCACATTCCTTGAAAGATGCTCCTCCTCCACGACTTGCTTGTTTAAAGGAAGAAGAGAAAGGTCTAGCATGATAGAGAAGAGCCTGTCAGCTTAGCCAAGAACGATTGCCTGAAACCCAAACATGACCTTTCCATCAAAGCAATTAAATACCAAATTGTTTTGCGGTTTTGGGCAAGTCATTCTTGGCTACCAAACAAGACTCTCATCTCCATGGAAGACCTCTCTTCCTTTTTATGCATATAGCCGGACGGTACGTTGATTAACACGGGGAAGAAGAAAAGGACTAGCATGAAAGAAAAGAGCCTGTCTAGATAGCCAAGGTGACTGCCGGGGAACCCAACCAGAAGTTTTAACATACATTGATGAATAATTGAAACTTCTTGGAAAGGAGCAGGCAAGTCATTCCTGGCTACCAAACATGATGACTCTTATCTTCATGTTAGATCTTTCTTCCTCTCTAATATACTATATTGATGCCAACACAAAGGCTTTGAAGTCTGTATTTATAGCAAATTGAAGTCGAAGAATAATAGAGATGAGATTCTGTTTGCCACTTTGAATGATTTCGATCCCCTCTTATCAATTTGCCTTCCCAATCTGCTTCGTGCCGCAATTTCTCGCTGCCCGTAAAAGAGAATATATTCGGTTCAACATGTAGGGACCTCAGAGTCAAAGAGTAAGGAAAGGTCTCGAAGTTTCTGGCCATCCCACTGCTCAACCCTCGCATCTTTCAGCCCTTTGAAAAGATATGAGACACTAGCTAGGGTGGTTATAGCATAATCTAGATATGCATGCCTTTTCGCATCTTACCTACCTAGGGTTTCATACTTTAACCCGGGCCTTAATTCACCGCTAATTTCTTGACTATGGTTCATGTTATACAACTAATGTATGTATTCGGTTTTGATGTTTCCTAACCATCTGATTTACTAATCGTATATTAAAATTTATTTTTGAAAATCTAATTAATTATCGGTATATAAAATTAAACCCCATTCCATCACCATATATGACTTTATTTGGTGGGGTACATGATTCTCTTGACACCAATTTGAGATGCCCCAGCTGAGCTAACCAAATCCATAAAAAGTCAATGCCATCGGCACTAAGCAAAGGCTTTTGTTCTGATTGACTTTCTTTGCGTGCATGCATAGACCCATGCATGTAGTATTTATTCTTCCTTTCTTTAGGCATCTCTGACTGTCCATGCCCCATGTCATTTATGGGCTGATATATTTTACTTTTCTCTACCATTCTAATCCAAATTCCAAAAATCAATGTAATTCATGTGAATTTAAATTTATCTAATTTAATTTAATTTTAAATATAAAACAATCGATCTCAAAATAATTTAAACGTAAACAAAAACATTTCATAAGGATCCAAACTCAAAATAACTTTAAAACTTAAATTAATTGAACTCAATTCAACGGTATGAAATTAACTTGATCCGTCCCAATTGAGAGCTCAAATTTTATTTATTTTGATGATTACTCTTAAGGGATATTTGATTCATAAAATGTGAGATTATTTTTAGAATAGAATTATTGTGATGTAAGATTACTTGATATATTATTAAAAATATTATATTATCTTATTTGGTTCATTTAATTAGAATATAAAATTATTGGTTGATGAGATGCAAGATTACTTACATTTATTTCAAAATATCACCTACTCTGAGGAGCATCTCAACTTTTGCATCGTTTTCCTCATTTTCTTCATCTTTGTTTGGTTGGCGGTAGTATTAGTCTTGATGTTGATCGGTGACCGCCGTTATTTCTTATTTTTCTTTTAATTTCTTACATTGCATCTTTGATTTTTTTAATTTATAATAACTCTATTTTTATAACATGTTTTTCTCTGTCTTTTGGCAATTTTCGATTTTCGTCATCATTTGTTTAACCATTCTCTTCGTTTAATTTTCTTAGTATTAGATTTGATATCATCTCGACTGAACAAGATGACGCTTATTTATTATCATGTTGATCTTCCATACTTTAGACCCTTGAATTGAATTTAGGTACGCGATTTGCATTCGTAGATAGTTTTCACATGAGGCTCGAGTTGATTTACGATTGTCAGTGGTCTTATAATAATTTGATCTTTGTTGTAGTTTGTTTGTTGATGCAATCAGATATGTTTTTATCTATATTTTGTCTGAGTTTTTTGGATGGATTTTTAACATTTTTCTAGTATGATCTTAAGTGGCTAGTTTCTTGTGTCAATGATTATAGGAAATGCTATATTTAATTTACGTTTATGGTTGTAAATCATCATTGTAATTTTATATTTATTTAAAGACTTCTACTAACGTCAAAAAATATAATTAATATTATATAACTTTTAAAAAATTATAAATATTATTAATCCAATTAATATATGTACTAATATATTTTCATATCATATTTGATATTATCAAGTCCGTACGCGGGGAGATATCAACTTATCCAGTCAGTCCTCTTTGGGATCCAGGCTTATTGGTCGAGGCAGTTGGTGCTGCCGAAAGCTGTCATTGCTAGGATAAATCAATTATGCATGCGTTCTTTCTGAAAGGGTGAAGATAAGCCTACGAAGGTGTGAGTTGGTCCGCCATTTGCCGGCCTAAGAGCGAGGGGGGCTTGGGGCTTAAGGATATCCATGTTTGGAATAAGGCGTGTTTGACGCTTTTGATTAGAAGAATTCTGTTGAGTGATGATTCTATTTGGATTGCTTGGATATGTTCTTATGTCTTGCAAGGTCATTCATTTTGGCAGGTTGAGAGATCTTCTCGTGGTGGATGGGTGTGCGCGAAGCTTCCGAGCTTGCGGGCGGAAGCAGTTGGGGTGTTGAGCACGATCATGAGGCCCATTGCTACTTTGGCTGAGATTTGGTCAGTCTTGCGGTCGCAGGGGGTGAGAGTCATTTGGGATCGGGTGGTTTGGCACTCGGGGCACTTCCCAAAAAATTCGATGATTGCTTGGATGGCAGCTTTGGGTAGGCTTCCAACCAGGTGTCGGTTAATATCTTTTGGATGGAATATTGATGGCACTTGCTTATTGTGTTCAAGGGAGTTGGAAACTCGGGATCACCTCTTTTTTGTGTGTCCTTACTCGAAGTGTGTTTGGGAGTGGGTGTTGAGGGCCTGCAATTTTTCGAAGCCAGCTATGGAGTTGGACAGAGAGCTGAGCTGGGTGTGTGCTAATGTGAGGGGTAAGTCTTTCCTCTCTTATTTGTTTCGCCTTGCTTGGAATGGTTGCATTGCTCTGCTATGGAAGGAGAGGAATAGGAGATTTTTTACGGGAGCTTGCAGACCTAAAGCTGAAGTGGTGAGTTGCTTGAAGGAGGTGGCGCGTCTAAAAGTCGACCGTTTTCAGGGTATTAGGCGGCTGCAGCCTGAGTGGGGTCTCCAGGAGCGAATTTTTATCTGGTTTTGCTTTGATTATTTAGCGTAGAAAGTGTTTGTATTAACTTTGTTCTTTTTAGGTATATAAAGTGCAGCATTTATCCAAAAAAAAAACTATAAAATAATTATCATTATTGTATGAAAACTAAATAAACTGAACATACATAAAAGGAGACTTTATTTTTCATAATTTCTTTAGAAAATAGATGTTTATAGGTTGCACTGAGACCCCATTTTAAAAAAAAATCCAAATTATTCCTTCTACTTTTTTAAATATTGTTATTACTATTTATATACTTATAAGTTATAAATAAATTTAAATAAAAAATATTTAAATTATATTCAGATTGAGTCGAAATGAATCACCTGACCATGGATAATAATATTAAATTATTATCTCTATATTCTCAATTTATATTTATTATTAATAATCTCATGTTATTATCATTAAAAAATATTATAAAATAAAATAACTATATTTATAATATATAATAATATGAACCAAACACGATCACAGCGTACGATATCATTTGTGTAGACTGGTTTCTAGAGATGAGGCCGTACCTTAAGAAGACTACAAAGGTTTTTGGGTTTAAGCCCATACCTTAATGAACAACTAAAAAGCCTACAAAATGGTTGTAATCCAAAAGCAAGCAGCCATTGAGATTGGGAATTCATGTAGAAAGTTGCGACTTTTACACATTGTACAGCTGATTCAACAAGCAACGAATCTAACCACATATGCTGCTCCTAAACACCTTGGACTTGGAAATCGATTTAAGCAACAACCAAGGCCAAAACTTCACACCTATGGACATCACAATTCCAAGGTTACTGGTTTACTAAAATATAACAAGAAGAAGAGGAAAACTCCACTAATCCATGCTGTTGGTACAATTGTCATGTTTTTGCCAAGTTGGATAAAACTGGATTTCTCATCTAAGCACCAGCCTGTATCCTGTCCAGGGTAACATGGTGCATAGGTGAAGCTGGAAATTTTCTTATTTTCTGCCAAACACACTGCAATGGTGGCAGAACTATGATGAATACTGCTGGAGTTGACACCTGATCTATGGACAAACCACTCAACTTCTATTTTCTTTTTCTCTCTCTATATATTTATATATTGTTGACTGCGAATCATATATCATTTTCTATTGGTTCCGGAAGTAAACGCAAATCACACAAGTTTTTCTCATAGATCTCTAGTTTTTTCTCCCTCAGGTTTTTAATTTGCTGGAACAACAAAAAGAAAGCCTAGATTAAAGGTTAAACTCCATAAAAAATTTATATACGGTAAACCAAAAATGTAACACCAGTTGTCATTTGGTCCATACATGAAGGTTAGTCCTCACGTGCACACTTGCAGAAGCCCATAATAAAACCATGTCTACACCTAACCTAACTACCAAGCTGCTTGAAGATAAGTCCAGACTACAGCTTTAATGAACCAATCTAAAAATCTAGATACATGGTACTACCGGTTCATGCATGGTTGTTAACCTAGTATGTAAGTAGTTAATACTATTGAAAATGATTGGAGTGGAGATAGGGGGTATTGGAGATGTAATAACTAGTTGTTGCGTCAAAGAAATGAATAAATATTTGTTTATGGGAAGTTTCAATTGGCTCCTTTAACAATGCCAGTGAAGACTTTCTATGTCTCAGCCATGTGAGATATGCCTCGGTTCCTGAGCTTCCTATTGCCAGATTCTTTTTCCTCTCTCTCTTCATATTTAAGATATCATCAGTATTCCGTTGCGTGTACTGAGAATTTCATTTCTCTCTCTCTCTCTCTCTCTGTGTATACAGTGAGTTACTTCAGAATCTCAACTACACATGATATTGCCAATCCATCAGAATTCTTTTTTTGTTCCTTTGATTCACTTTTCTTCCATTTATTGCGTAGCTCTGGATGCTGTTTTTGTAAGTTTAATTTTGTTTCTTGAACTTGAATCTTTAAACAACACACTTCATATCCATAAGCTTAATTATATGTTTGAACTATCAATTATGTGTGCTCAAGCTTTTTTTTCGCTTCTTTGTCATTCAAGTCCATATGTTCCTGAATTACCGGAAGTTACACTTTATGGAACTGAATTATTTGATAATCTGAATGATTTTGTAGGATGTTAATTTGTGAAAAGAATCCCCAAGGAAAAAGATGGGGTGCATTTATTCTGTGTACGGAGTTGGGAAGAAGAAGAAGTTGAGTATCCCAGAAGTGGTTGTATTTGTTCCTTGCATGAGAATTCCAGCACAATGTGATCTTCAAAGAGCGCTCGATGGCCGAATACCTCGCGATGTTATCAACAGATTATCTTGTCTAAGGAACCGGATTGTGTTGGTTGCAGAGGACACTGGTCTATCTCACCTTATGACCCTCTTGTTTTCCGTATGTATCATGATGAGTCTTGTTATCTAAAGCTGAACTGTGGAAGTTGCAGGTGGATCCGCGATTACCGAACTGCAGCAGGCACTGGAAGAGTACTTGTCAATTCTAGTTGGACTTGCTAAGAAAGGTTTCATAATCTGCCGATCTCAATCTCTCCCCTAGTGTCCATGTTTTTCCAATTTCCTATGATGAATATATGTGCATATTGCAGAACATGGTCTTGAGGACATGGTGGAATTCAAGTGGAAAAATTTAGAAGATGAAAGACAAGTATGTTTTATCAGGAATCCGTGCATGGTTTCTTCTATAATTTTGTCCTTGTCAGGCATGTAACCGGAAACAATTGTAACCGAGTCTGAAATGTGCAGGAGACTAGTGTAGCAAATGTCTGGTTTGAATTGTTTTCAGTTGTTCACATGATGGCTATGCTCACATTAACCGAGTCTAACACACTTATGATCCCCAAGGATTATTCTGGTTCTGGCTTTCGGGTCTTTTCTACAGGTTTGTGCCTTTTCAATGGATCCAATTTGGCAAATTTCAAACTTCAATTATGATTAGTTTTAACTCTTAACATAATCACCTCGACCATCTGCAATAATAACCACCAGATTGTAAGAGAGATGCAGTTGATTTATTGCTCAAGGCTGCAGGGTACCTAGAATTTTGTGTCCGGAACGTTCTCTGTCGTATACCACCAGAAATCAAGTATGAACATAAATTTACAGCTCTTGGAAATCTTCTTTTAGCATAAATTTTCAAGCTTCTTTTAACATCTCATAAATATTCCCAGGCAAAGTATGTCAAAAGATTTGCAGGATGGTGTACTAGAAGCTATTTCCATCCAAGCATTAGGCCAGGTATTCATTACTTAGGGTCACTCAAAAAATTCAATGAAAAAATGGAAATGAATCTTTGGTTTCTTGTTATAATTCAATGGAAATGGATCTTCGATTCAGGGAACCGAAATACAGCTTGGTTTAGCTATTGAAAGTCAAAAGGCTACTTTATCAGTGAAGAGGAGGCTGGCCTGTGAACTGCTGATATATTACAGTCAGGTTTGGTTCAAATCTTTAGTTTGAGAAATCTGTGTATCCCTTAAGTGCCATGGATATACCATAGGTTACTGTCGGCTTTCTTTCCTTTCGTGTTAATCAGGCTTATCAATACTTGTCTGGATGTGACTTGAGCCATGGATATGGGAAGAAACATATGTGGTTCATCAAATGGAAATTCGTAGAAGCAAAGGTTTTTAACCACAATCTCTAATACCAAAACATTCTCATCTCAAACCCAGCATTCAATCAATTTCGTATAGGAATCCAACTTCTATGTAATTGTATCTTCAGGCTGCTGCTTATTACTACCATGGTCTGGTTCTCGACAAGGGTAGCGAACCGACCTGTCATATTAGTGCCGTATGTTGTTTCCTAGCTGCACAAGAACTACTGGTAGAGAGCAAGAAAGCCTGCATAAGCTTTTGCCTTGCAACTCCTGTAACCAGGTTGGTTTTCAATCTCATGATAGGAAGAACCATAGTTTTCACGCTATCATTCAATGCTGCTTGGACTCGGGGTTACAATCTTCGATACGGCCATGTATATGAAATGAGTACTCAAGGAAAATGAAGAGCCGGGGTAACATTCTTTTTGTTTTTTCTTTGGTGGAACAGAGCACCTCCACTTTGGGGAGCTATGAAGCATTTACATCAGAAAATACCTGAGGTTGCATCGAGGAAGTCACAGATGTATGGCTACCTCTTAGAAGAAGAGAAGTAAGCACTTTTCGACCGCAGCTTGGAGTTCGATATATTTTGTTCAATAAATGGTTAGAAATTAAAATTTTAATATTGGTTGTGAATCAGGGCACTCCAAACATTACCTGAACTACCAGATTTCCAACTATCACTGAGACCTGATGACTATGAATTACCTGCAATGGATCCTGCCTGGGATTCTGAAAACTGCGAAAAACAGGGCCAGCCCCTGAAGGAGCATCTCAAAGACAGTGAAGATGAAATTGAAACAGAATGAAATCATTTTATTTACAGACTTTTTCTTCTCATTGTACCTCTTATACAAGCTTTACCTTATACACAAAGACAGATAGTCACAAGCGGTGAATGATTGTTAACAGTGTTACTTTCATATTGATCATCAGAATTGGCATTGTGCCCCATTGTTGGCGAACCTTATAAACCAGGTGTTTAAAATCAATAGAATTAGACTGCTTTGTTCCAAGCAAAAGTTCCAAATTTTCTTAAGAGATTACAATTATAGCAGTTTCAGAAGATCTTGCTGCATACTACCATTGCTAAAGTTGTCCTAAAGACATAAAGTACTAAATTTCAATTACAAAATATATATTTTAAATCCTACTAGCAGTGTAATTCTCTAAAGAAACAGCATCTAAACCCCTAAAAACACAGAGAGAGAAAAGATGAAAATTTTCAAGACCTGAGTTGAAAAGAAGCTGCTTCCCTTTTGGATGATTGATCTTCAAGGACATGCTAGCCTTTCACTGCTTTGGTACTCATCATTGGCTCCTCCACACATGCATAACAGTGAGAGCAAAGTAGGAAAAGAAGGCCAAGTAAGATAACGCCATGGCTATGGTCATATGATTGCAAAAAATCCTCACACGATTACAAACAGCCATCCAACCCATTTTTTCTTCTCCATATCGACTGACATAACCCGTCGCCGTCGCTGCCGCGCATCCGGATATCGCCAACAACATAATCACCTGCAAACGCAATGAACCAGTTTTCAATATTCCATCAAATTAACCTCCCGCGATTTCAACAACAAACCAAACAATTTACTTACCATGTCATGCAAAAACAGATAGAAGTTGTTCTTGGGACTCGATCCTGAACGTCTCGAATAGTAAACAAAGATCAATGAAAGTAGAGAAGATGCACTTACTATAGCATCTGACACAAATAAAAACCTGCAACAAAGACACCGGAAAATGGATTAGCCATTGAAATAATCATATATGAAAGACCAGGCAGAAACTGTTAAAACTTTAACTACTAATTACCTCATAGAAGATGAGTCGGTATAGTGAGCTTTAATGGTGAAACCGAATAGAACAACGGTCTGGGAGCTTGTTGCCATTACACAGATCGCAGCCAATGTGAAAACAGCGGCAAAAACCTGACCAGGGTTTGAGCCATAAAGAAACCTCTTTTTGCTGCGGTGTTCGACACTGCGACGCCTAGTGATTGGCTTGAACCATATCCGAAGCTTTTGCTCTGTCAGCTTCAGGTGCCATTTACAGACTCTTTCCAAGAAAGAAGGAAAGGTACTTAATGAACGGAGAAGAAGAGTGAAGGATGGTGAATTTTCTTTTTCTTTTCCGACACTTGCCGAATACCCAAAGTAGATAGTATTTATCTAAATGCAAGCCAATCAAATAAATACCTTGAACAAAAGTTTCAACTACATCCCAAATTATGACCTGAATTTTATTTTATTTAATTTGAAATAAATAATTTATTTGATGAAAAATTAAAATTAGTCGACTCAAAAACTTTTGCATTTATGTTTTTTTGCAATCATCTTATAATTAAATTTTGTTGTCCGTTAATTTTTTGTATAAATTTATACATTTATTTATTTTATTTAAAATTATTTATTTATTACCATCTTCCCTAACTTAAACCAATAAATTATAAGCTAATAAAGAAATAAGAAAGGGTAGATGGGGTGGAGTAAATAATATGTTATGTTGTTGTTGGACCAACAACCTGCAGAGATGTAATAAAAATGGGGGAGATGTTACAATAGAAACAGATTAATTTACATTCAGACGACAAAGTCAGGAGAAATCTAAACAATTACAGCTAATTTAAGGTTAAAAAACGACAGAAATAGACGTAATTGAAAATGTGATAAAATATAATATTTTAAGTTGGTCGTAACCTAAAATATTACATTTTTTCTAAATTTTTTTGTTAAACTTGAAATGGTATATTTTTCATAAAATTTTTTATTGGTGTAATATTTGTTCAGAACTTTCTTAACCTATTGACGATACATACTTTGCAGATATAATTGTTTGAACTTAAAACCTCTGAGGAGAACAATATTCTCTTTTACCATTAAGACCGATAAAATTATTTATAATTAACTGTTTTAATTGATTAATAGATTATAAATTAATCTATCATATCATATAAATCTATTGAATTGCTATATTTGTATGCATCATTATAACTTATCAATTGTTTTTTTATTTAAGTTTTTTGATCAATTTTTTTGAATATATAAGATTTTAATCTTTAGAATAATAGTATTTTATTTTTAAAAAATTATATAAAATTGCTTCATAACTTTACGAAACATTATAAATAATCTTATTTTATTAAACTTGCTAATATTTTATTGGAGATTAGTTTTCTTTTGATAAGGACATGGCATGTCAGACGCACAACCTTTTCGTTTACGTAGTGGAAAAAATCAAACAAATTTTATTCAAAAAGAAAAATATACATACTACATGTTAAAGACAAATATTTGTTCGAGTACAAGCTAAATAATGATTATAGTGCACATATATAAACTTTGTTTTTAATCGCTAAATGAATGCATGTTTAAATGATCATATTTAAACACTTATAAAAAGAACATTCATATTTATATAATAAGAGATTCAATTATCTTATTACTGAACTTATTCATTAAATATAAACTTGTTAAAGACATACTATGTATTTGAACATATCTAAATTTATATATTTATCTTATTTAACAAAAAAATAATTTTGAATAAATATTAATCTCATAACTTGTCACACCCCAATTTAAGGACTAAATTTTAAAAATTTTAAAGTATTGAGTTTAAGTGGTATTTTGGAAGAAATTGACTATTAAAGTATAAAATCATAAAGTTGACAGACCATTTTAGGATGTGCAAGAAATTCAGGGATTCAATCTTGAACTTACCCATTTTTCTTATATGTTGAAAAATAAAACCCCTCCCTGAGCTTTTCCCCCATAATGTTTTCCCTAATTTCCTTTCCCGTTAACCCTCATTTATAGCTTCGATTCTTCACCGACTGGCCACTGTTCGTCGATCTGAAACCACTAATAGACTCACCATTGAATGAAGAACAAACCCCGACATTTATCCCGTCATGAATCGGTGTCGTTCGCCGTAAAACTCAACCGGAAGTTTCATCAATTTTAACTCAATCGTCGTTGGTTTTTCGTCGATCCGGCCACCCGTTCATCACACCTCCTACATCATTGGACTCACCATCACCGTGCGCTCAAAACTCGACCGAAATCGTCTCGCCGTTGTTGCTCCATCGTCGTCACTCGCCGACCACCGTCGGATAAGTTTGTACGTTTTAAAATTATACAATCTGTTATGTTTTGGTGAAAAATAACACTTGCATGAGACTCCTAAGTCTTGATCTACAAATTTGGAAAATTTCACGCTGAACCGACGACTAGAGCTGCCGCATGCGTCGCCCACTGAGAGTGGGCGTCGTCTGTCATCCAGGGGAGCCGAGCTGCCTAGACCGAGTCGTTGACCGCCGTTGACCGTTGACTTTGACAAAAAAATCAAATTTTTTAAAAAGTCATATTTTATGTTTTTCGACATCCTGAGTTCGATTCTGAAGTCTGTTTCACCAAATTCAAACCCGATAAACTATTTTTACTGATTAATCACCTGATTCGATCCATTTTTCGCAATTAAGCTTCGTTTTTGATGAAATTTATGTTGGTATGTATTTGATGAATTATTGGAAGTTGAATTAAAGATAGAGGGTGTTCGAATGGAATTTAAATGGTTGATCAGTATGACACAGAAATCGGGGTAATACATTACTACCTTTTCATGTTTTATGGAACGTGTTGGTTGGTAAATGCATGAATGAAAATGTTTGGTTTTATCCGGATAGTTAATTAATTTATACAGTCGATACGAATGTGATAAAAAGTAAGTAACTGAATATGTCTCAGATGACTAATATAAGAAATTAGAGGACGGTTGAAATTAAATTACAAGTTTTGGGATTAACTGATAAAGGAATTAGCCATGGATATGTAAATTATAAATTATATCATTAAAGGTTAAATAGCAAAGGTACTTGGATAAGAATACTTTGGTTAGGTGAAATTACGAAAGTACCTTTATGTTGTAAAAAGATAAGGATTGTCCCTGGAAGTTGAATAATAGCTTTGAAAAGACATATTGATCTGATAAAATTACTGATGTGCATAGAAAATGTTATTGTTGTCTAGAAAATTTGGATAACCGATTTCTAACTCCAAGATGGAGAAAGATTTAGAAATTATCATTTCTGGACAAACCCACCTGATAAATAAATTGATAAAATGATGTATATGTTTGAATCGAAGGAAATAACTAAGTACCCTTGAACTGTAAAATGACCAAAATACCCCTAGAATGAAAATAAATCAAGAATATCCCCAAGCTCATGAATGATTGGATATCCTCAAGCTAAAAAAGGACTGAATTAACATTAAACACCAAAATGACCAAAAATACCCTTATGGCCCAGAATAAGTAAATGTATTGGATTAATTAAGAAATTCAAATAAACATGGATGTTGTTATGCTCTTAAAAGTTATAGAACATATATTAAGTAGGTCAACCAATGCTAGTGTTATATCAGTATCTAAATGGCATAGATATCACTTGAATGCTTGTTCGCCTCCTTAAGTTTGGATCGATGATAATTTTGGAAGTACTCAGCTCAAATCAACTCTAGAGCGTATTTGGTACTAAGAAGCGAATATTTGTTAGAAAAATCAACCACGAATACCAAATTGAACTGAACGGAAGTACAATATTGTTAAATACATTTTGATGTTTCGATATAACAAATTAAGTTAAATAAATTTTAAGATTTTACAAATGATTTTCTAAAAGTATATTCGATTTAATTACTCGAATATCAAGCTATTACTCCAAGTCTTTCAAGATCAATTTTAAACCTTACTAAATGTGTAAATTTGTGTTTTATACTTAAACTATTTTTAAACAAATTTTCACAAAGTATTTTGAACCAAAATCAAGCCTAAAATCAATTTTCAAGGGCATGCACCGATGCACCAATCCATGCATCGATGCATCAATTAATTTCTTGAACATCGAATGCATTTTATGCATCGATGCACATACCATGCATCGATGCACTCAGTGCATTTGATGCATCGATGCACTCAGGCTTTTTTAAAACATCGAATGCATTTTATG